CCCTCCGCTGTACTCTCTCCAGTAGCTCCTCATCTTTCTTGAACTGGGGAGCCCAGAACTGGACACAGCACTCCAGGTGGGGCCTCACCAGGGCAGAGTAGAGGGGAAGGAGAACCTCCCTCGACCTGCTGGCCACACTCCTCCTGATGCACCCCAGGATCCCATTGGCCTTCTTGGCACCCAGGGCACACTGCTGGCTCAGGGTCAACGTGTCATCCCCCAGCACTTGCCCTTGTTGAATTTCATCACTTTCCCAGAGCTTGTCCAGTTCCTCACTGGCAACCACAACGTGCTGAGGAGACGATGTCCGCAGCTCAGCTACACGCTGCCTCCAGAACCACTCTCCCCGTCCTCATCCTGAACCTGCCGCCGGCTGGGCTTCCTGTGACCTGCTGTTGTGGCATCCTCTGGACCAGAACCCGTGCTTGCTCCGTAACGAGGACAGAAAACTGTCCCCAAATCCCATCCGCCTCTACCCGATAGGGACTGATGGCCTCAGTCTTGCTGCATCGCTGCTGGCAGTGCCCCTCAAAGCATTCCCTCTGGCAACGGTTTCATGAACCTCCTGCTCCTTGGGACCCCGGCACAGATCCAGCCGCCACTGTGAGCGACAAGGAGGGGTTCACTGCCCCTTTCACCAGATTCAGGGGTTCTTGGTGCTGCCTGAACCTACCCCCTAACCCTGGGAGGTCACCTCTAGTCTGAGGGATGCTGGAGCAGGAGGTGTCACCTCGATGCACCCAACAGGCATCCCCAGAGATCCAGAACGCCCCCCCCCAAGGGCTCCCTCCCCAGCCAGCAAGGGGTGAGCCGGAGCCAGGCATGGCAGCGGTTTGGGTGACGCTGGTTTCTCTTTCCTGCAGGTCAGGCCAAGCCCAAAGCTGTTCGGCAGCCGAGGAGCCGTACCTGGGGGGCAACCAGCGCTTGGTCCCTGCACACCGCAGCTGAACCCAGGGTGGCAGAGGTGGCCCAGTTCCCTTTTCTGTGCGAGATCCCGGGATCCAATTCAGCCAGAGAATCTGGAAGAATCTGGGTCGTGGAGCAGAAATGCGAGCAGTGTGCGGGGCTTGGTGCGTACACGTCTGCTCACGGCATCCGTCTGGTTACATCCAGTCCGGGTGGTCTTTCCCTCCCCCCCTGCCACCAACCACTCAGCTGCCTACGGCTCCGTTTCTCCCAAACGCTCTTCTAGCTTGCAACGGTTTGCAGCTCAGCCCTCTGCTTAACAGCCTTTGGTGCATTTCGCTTCCCACAGCATCACAGAATCACAGAATGGTCGGGGTTGGCAGGGACCTCTGTGGACACCCGCCTCATTCAGCAGCGGCCCCACGTTGTCCCTAGCCTTCCTTTTGCTGCTGATGTAGTTGAAGAAGCCCTTCTTGTTGTTTTTGACATCCCTTGCCAGCTTCAATTCCAGGTGAGCCTTGGCCTTCCTCGTCGCAGGTTCGTTTCATGAACCTCCTGCTCCTTGGGACCCCGGCACAGATCCAGCCGCCACTGTGAGCGACAAGGAGGGGTTCACTGCCCCTTTCACCAGATTCAGGGGTTCTTGGTGCTGCCTGAACCTACCCCCTAACCCTGGGAGGTCACCTCTAGTCTGAGGGATGCTGGAGCAGGAGGTGTCACCTCGATGCACCCAACAGGCATCCCCAGAGATCAAAGCAAGGGTCTGACCAGAACTGGCTGCCCAGAAGTGGACCAAGGAGGAGGAAGAAGAGGCGAGGAAGCTGGCAGACGCTCCTTGATATGCAGGCAAGCGTTCTCCAAGAAATGCAAAGGCAGCTCCAGAGCAAGGAAAACAGGTCCAACTCCCACAGACGGAGCTGCTTGAAATTGCATACGGCAAAAGCACCAACAGCCTTGTCTAAAAGCACCCGTCTGCTTAAACGGGAAATCCAAGGCGCGTGAACCGCTGCAATCCTCCCCCAAAAAGCAGAGGAGGGCTCTTTGGATCCTTCCCTGCAGCCTCCGCTCCCCGAGCAGGTAAGGCAGGTGGATTTAATTTTCCAGCCAACTTCTAGCTTGCTTTCCTTGCTCCACAGAGGCTTCAGAAGCTGAGATCCATCCCCCTCACCTCACAAACACACACAGCAACCTCAAAAGTTCAGTGTGAAGTGGCAAACAATTTTATTATAGTTAGGAAAAGGCTTATTTTTTCTTTTTTTTTGAAAAAATGTGCAGGGACGCGGTTCCCTCCTGCAGGTTCACCTGCTGGTTCCGCTTTCAAAGTGCTACATTACAACGGTGAAAATACCGGCACTTCACGGCAGAAAACTGAACGTCTGCTTTTATCGAGTGGAGTGGTGACGAACCAGCCGCTTCACAAGAGTGATTCGACGTGAAAAGGCAAAGCGTGAAAGCCACTGCTAAGAAGTACTGGGAAAACAGGTGAAGATTGTTGCAGGCAAGTGAAGCATCAGAGAAGAGGGCCTTGGTGCGGATGCTGCTGGTCTGGGATCTCACGGGCGTCCTCTGAATCACGCAGAAAGCGTGTGGAGAAGGCACGCGCCCCCTCTCTCTAACGAAATTTGGGGTGGATTCCACAGTGTGGTTATGCAGGCTCGCGTACTCTGCTTTACGATGCGTGTTCTGCTTTAGTTTGGCGCAATATTCAGTCATAAACACGAGCCTTTTAACAAGTTAAAAGGATTTGGGGAGATATCCTTACCCACTGCAAATAAAGAGCAATTCTTAGGGCTGAAAACTGCAGCTTTCACAGGTCTCTACAAAGCCCTCACGGACAAAATCATGAAAGCTGAGGAAAAAAACAGCTAACTGGGGACGGCTGACGGGGAATCCCAGGTCCTTCTCCCTGCCTGCGGGGAGGCTTTGGACAAGTCACGTCATCTTCAAGCGGGGAGAGCAGCCCCCGAGTCCCCTCTTTTAAAGTGTTTAAAAGCGCTTTAAAGCCGCTCCTCTGATGGATAAAGCGCCGGGCACTGAGCAAGCGATGAACATCTCCACTTCACCTGGAGAGCAGCCCCCGTCAGACCAAAATCAGCACCTCACTATTGCATGTAATTATTGTCTTTATCATTTAACGGGCCACTTCTTGCATTTTTGGGCAAAGTTGTTAGGAGGGAGGACCAGCCGTTCGCCCCGTCGCGGGGCTGACGGACCCTTCCCACCGCAGGCCGAGCTCTGGGCACAACGGCCGCGCTCTGCAGCCAGGGCCCGGGGAGCTCGTCTGCCTCCTGCTCCCCTGCCAGCAGGAAGGTCGCATTCCGGGAAGCTGCGCCGAGCGGCAGGAATCCACGGGGAAGAAGGTACTGGACCCAGTAAAGCAGGGAAGAAGCAACCGCGTGGATGAGGAGTTCAGCCCGGCCGTCGTCACCAGGCCGCTGTGAGGGGTTGCAGCCCACGGCACCCTTGGGGGCTCGCCGGATTCAAACCAAGCCTTCTGCCCTGTGAATCCACGCCCGGATCATCACACCTTTTTGCCCAGTTCTGCGTCCTGCCACAGCTTCCCTGTTCCCCCCCAACAAATCACGGGATGCTGGGAACACGCAAGGTGTCTTTAGAGCTTGAAAAAAACAGAAATCCTTTAGCTATAATAACCCTTTTGCTACAAAGAAATAATTTTGGTTTTTTTGTGCGCCTGTGCTTTTGGGAGGGAGCAGATGAGATGGCGAACAGCCCGCAGCCGCAGCGACAGGAGAAGTGGGCAGCACGGCTGGTGACCACTAAACTCTGCCTCGAGCTAGAGATGTGGCCCCGACAGTGACTGCGGGGGGTCGCTTCTGCCCCGCAAGTTGCCCTGGGCAGGGGGAAGCTGGGGATACTGGTTTGGGTTTGAGGATTTTATCTTAGAAATCTTGCAGCCCGATCCCCTCACACTCCAAGCTGATTAGGGGACCTAATAAATGCTTATAAATATCTGAAGGGTGGGTGTCAGGAGGATGGGGCCAAGCTCTTTTCAGTGGTACCCAGTGACAGGACAAGGGGCAACGGGCACAAACTGAAGCAGAGGAAGCTCCAGCTGAAGATGAGGAAGAACTTCTTCCCTCTGAGGGTGACGGAGCCCTGGCCCAGGCTGCCCAGGGAGGCTGTGGAGTCTCCTTCTCTGGAGATATTCCAGCCCCG